ACCAGAACAGACCACCAGAACAGACCACCAGAACAGACCACCAGAACAGACCAGACCACCAGAACAGACCACCAGAACAGACCACCAGAACAGACCAGAACAGACCAGAACAGAACAGACAGAACAGACAGAGAACAGGCAGAACAGAGGGAACAGACAGAACAGACGGAGGAAGAGGAGGAGTAGAGGGGGAAGCAAGACATAGGAAAGAAGAAGGGAGATCAAAAACCAGCCGCGGTCTCCGCAAGGCTGGCTTTCGTTCTCCTTGGCCTCCAGCCCGCGGACTCCGCTTGGTCAGGAGATGATCTGAGGGTGGAAGAAGTATGTGGAAAATTTTTGCACATTGATAATCCCTGTATTTTTGCAGAGGAAAGAGTACCCAGAGCATTCATAAGCCAATGCGCCAAGGGCAGAAAACAATCAAAAAAAGAGAGAGAGAGTGAGAGAAGGAAAGGAGAGGAAAGGAAAATGAAGGAAAGGAACGAGCGAAAGAAAGAGATAGATATTAGTAGTAATGTTATTAGGGGAAAAGCAGTCCCAAACAAGCTACTCGGAGTCAATCGTCTTTAGATTAGCCAAGGCGCCCAAGCAGAAGAACATCGCGGGTTGCTTTAGCCCAAGCCGAGCCAGTGCTCGCAGCATGCGCAGCACCAGCCGGGGGGGTAGATCCCGGCCGTGCGCCACTTGGTTGAGCTCCTGAGCGTTCGCCGAACGGTCGGCGCTGGTCAGCGCTGGCGACACCGAACGGTCGACGGTTCCGAGCCGCCCGACGAAGAGGAGCTGGGCGAAGCGCAGGTCGCGCTCCACGGCGGTGCGCTCCGCACTCGCCGCGATCGCCTCGCCACAGGTGAAGGGAAGGCACCCGCTCAAGGGCACCAATCACTTCGTTTCTTCAGGAAGGCATCAAAGGAAAACCTTTTTCTTCATTTGTTCGTTGTCCGGAAAATGACCTCCAGTGCTGTGATGGCAAGGGAGGCATCCAGGCCATTGGAAAAGCTTTCCCTCAAGGCCAAGACCTGCGGGACAAAGCTCAAAGGGCAATCGAAACTGCGAGGGTGCCGAGAAACAAAGCCATCTGGAGTGGACACTTCGCAAGACAGAGCTCAAGGCACGGTGGCAACGACCAAACTGTTTCGTCCTTGTACACGGACGATTAAACTTGTTTCTAGCAAACATTGTTCCTAGTACTAAGGCCAGGAGCCCCTAGTAGCGATGCACTTGCTCCTAGTAAGGCCAGGAGCCCCTAGTAGCGTCCTTGCTCCGTTCGTAGCGATGCCCTTTGCTCCGTTCGTAGCGAACATTGCTTGATCAGATCGGGGTCACACGGTCCTTCGTGCGGCCCCGCACCTCCGACGGATGGGATGCGCCCAGAAGCCGCTCCACATCCGCCATGGCTGGAGAACGACGAGGTTGGCATCCCGGAGGAACCCAGGCACCGCGAGTGGGGTGCTCTCTGCTTCAAGTCTCAAAAGGCCCTTTATAGTGTCAAATTTGGGTGTAAAATAGTCAAATAAACAGGAGAAAATGACCAGCTCTGCCTGATCACCGGCTGTTTGGTCCGTCTTTTGCGACATGTTTATACATCTTCTTGCTCTTATAAGCTTGTGAGAAAGTGCTGAAAATGAAACAACACTCAAAGCGACAACCATGACCATCATTGCTGAACAGACACGGCAAACGCGACTCTTCCTTTTCTCGGAAACGAGTGCATCGTTTCGACCGGACATCACTGCGTGCATCTACGTTGAGGACAGTTTCACATTAGCAGGACTGTGGAGAGAAACTCAAAAGATAGATAATAGCTGAAGCGCAAGAATATTTTTGAAATGTTGGGGATGTTGAGAAACAAACAATCACAGCATTGTGTGATATTGTGTGTTTTGTGATGTTTCGTGTTTCTCCCAGTAACTTCCAGTTCCAGCCTGGGGTTCCCGCACCGTGGTCTTGTCTTTGCACAGGCGAACGCAGAACCCCAAGGCCGTTCTTACGGGGCACGGCTCCACATGCGAAAACACCCGAGCTTTGCCCAGTCTCGTGAGCCCTCTCATGGTTTTGGCCATGGCTTTGCATCTGCGCTTCTTCCAGCAGTGCCCCGGTCAGACCGGTCATAGAACTCTCAGCAGTCTGGGACTGCATCTCCTCACAGAAATCTGAAAAGCGTGTCTCAAACGCCAGGAGAAAATGCACGGAGTATATTCAATGATTTGTCTCATCTGGATTGTTCTGTCGTGTCCTATCTCACTATAAGTTGTCCTCGAGACTTCACACCAAGTGTGCGTTCTGTGTACAGAACCGTTCATGGAGGTTGTTTAGTCATTCTTTCAACCATTTCCATGGCCACCTATCGCATCTAGGCACCACAATTGTTTGGCTATTCTACAAGCAAACGTCCAAACCCGAAGTCCTGCCAGGCTATTCCATTGTGCCTGAACCCAAAACGCCAGCCAGGCTCCTATCCCCTATATTTCGAAGTCCCAAAGACCCAGAAGAGGCAAGAGACGAATGCAAATCGAACTCCGCACAGGACCCTTCACTGCCTTCCTCATGTTCCCCGTGATTCCGTTCCAAAACACTGACCGTTCATGTGATTTGGTCACTGCAGCCTGTGTTCCGGCCTGAGAGCTCTGCAGCATCCCCAGCCTTTTCGGGTGGGGAAGCCAACCAGCTGAACAAACATGGTGCCAAACCCGTCGTTTCACACGGACAATTTTGTCTTCCATCAACTTTGAGCCATCACCTCGAAAAAAAATGGTGTCATTTCAGAATAGAGCGCCTCTGCTTTCGATGCTTTCACGCAAGGAATACATGTTTTCTACGCGTGCATGTCACGTGATTCGCTCGGCTCCGCCTCCGGCTGAGCTGCATCTGCAGCGGCCTCACGGAACCCGGCGGTACACCGCGGAAGGAAGGCGTTTCGGGGTGGACCGATGGGAAAGGGGTGCTTTTGGGGTCTAGAAGGTCGAAATGCTGATGTGGGAATCTGTGAAGCAACAAACTCTCTCTTCCAGAAGCCTGCCTTGCTTCCCCACAATCCTCATTTCGTTTTTCGTAGATTATGATGGGGCATTTCATGGAATTTCGTGTTTGCCTCACATCAAAACTCCAGCGATGTCGTGGTTTCTACCCATTTGGAGCCTGGGACCTCGAGATCCATGAGCCTGGCACCTCCAAATACTTCCTACATCCCCTCATTCTATCCTCATTACTATCCTCATCACTCCATTCTCCTCCAGCTGCCTGGCTTAGACGTTGGCCCCTTCTCCACCGAAGAAAAAAACACCGCCCTTTCACGCCGCCTCGGGCTCTTGTGGTAAACCGGTGGAGAGGCCTCCCACGGAGTCCAGTGGATCCTCCGCTCTCGGTCGACGCCGACTCGATCACGGCAGTGAAGGCGGGAAACGTCACGTCCTTGGGGCCTCCTTTGGGGTGGAGGGTGGGGCGGGGATGGAGGCCCCACCTTTCGTTCGCTGTCCTGACTCCCGTCCTTCCAATGCACCCGGTGCACCCGTCCTGACTGCGCTGCTTGGAGCGAAGCAGTGTGGCCACCGAGCCTGGGCGCGAAGACGTTGGTGTGAAGCATCAGCGGATCGACCAACGTTGAAGTCGCTTCCGGCAAAATGCGACCAAACCGAAGGATGTCCTGCAGTCTTGCACTTTGTGTGAAGGTTTCAGAACAATTAGGGTCTCACAACAAGTGTTAAGTAAATAAAACAAAAATAACTGGTTCTATCGGAATCACGCGCACATCCCCATTTAGAAGTATATAGGTATGATATCCTCCGGCACAGTCAGACAGATGTCCGTTGTTGGTCGATATCTTGTTTTTTCCTGCATGCGCCAAAAGCCTCCGCGCCCTCCGTAGACCACGGACCGGCTCCGAACCGAGGACCTTCGCCATTCCAAGGCACTTTGAGTTCCAAGCCGTGTCTCCAGCTCCTCGCGCCACGACCCGCTGGGAACGTTTGGGAAGGGAGAGGGTGGACCCGCCGTGCGAACCTGAGTGATCCCTTTTTGTGACACCACCAATACCTTTTCCGATCAAAACAGGGGGCTCTTGTAGGTGTAGGTGTAGATAGATGATGTAGATGTATGTTAGTGTTCACCCGAAGAGACTCTCGGTAAACGCAAAAGGTGTCTGCTCTCGGTATCTGCTCTCGCTGACCTTAAGGTGACCTTCTTCGAAAACGGATGGAACGGTTTCTCGGTTCGTTTCATCGTTTCTTGGACTTGATATGCAGCTCTTTTCTTTGCATTCTGCGTAGGGCCAACAGGTCTCGTGTGAACCTCCGACCATCGAGCCAACAGTCCAGCCGGCACACAGGCTACTCTTGCCAGGAATTACTCGCTTTCGACCTATCTATAGATGCTCACTCAATCGGGACCCATACATGACGATACCAAACACCCATTGAATTCAGCATTTTAGATCGGAAGTCACTGGTGATGTTGTCGCGACCCAACTCTGTGCCCACCGTGTTTCGACGTCCGGGAATCCTCACCGACGTCCCGCCTCCAAGACGGACTGCGTGACGATTCGGGAGTTCTGAAGACGTTGCAAGCAGATCATCTCCTGCTCCTGGGATTGGTGGACTCTGGAGTTGGATTGCTGCGCAAGATGTAAGTTGAGACATTTCTAGAGAAGGCAGGTCTGGACTCTCGACCGGCTCCATCTTTGAATTGCACCTCACTTTCTGGTGCTTCCTGGAAGATGCTCCCCACGGGAACCCTCTCTTGTCTTCGCCCCCCCCGAAAGCACACCTGTACCGGCCAAAACGAAACACCTCGACCGACCCAAGACCTCCAAGTCTGGCAGGGTCGCTTCTGCTTCCAAGACCTCTCAGTTGCGGTCGCTCTTGCGCAAAACAACGCGTGATCGCCATGGGAGATGGATTTGATCCAACAAATCTTTCGCTCGAAGCTGCTCATGTGCGTTCGATTCGCACTTTTGACGTTCAATTCCGCTGCACTGTTGGCAGCCGAGGAACTCGTCGCGCTCCGAAGCCACTTGGGCTTCGAGCTACAGGCTCAGGGTTCCCTGTGATTTTCCACAAAAGAAACATCTCCCAAAAAGGATTTCCGGACCATGTTCTTAAGTGAACAGTGGCCCTGGTTGACCACGCTCATCACACAGGGAGTCCTGGTTGATCTTACGATTTTGTCATGAGATCAATCATATCTGACCACTCTTGTGGCGTCTTCTCAGCTCGTGTCACTTGGGAGGAGTACGCTCCAAAGTCCTGATCACCGCGGCAGCGCTCAAATTAACGCGTTTGTCCTGGAGGCTGAAGGAAAACAATGCAGACCTGAGCATGCAAGACATGCATCGATTTAGACCTGAGTGGCATTGAATCCGTCTCGATCCGACTGTCTCGGCTCGTCTCGATCCGCCTCACCCGACTCGACGAAAACGCGCCGCGACAAAACGAGGAGCGTCCCGATGCCAGAGGGAGAACTCCGCCAGAGCGTCCCACAGCCGCGCCTCGCTGTTCCTCGCTTGGCAGGTCGGTGCCGCTTGGAGGGCGAGGGAGAGTGAACCGAAGTCGAAGACGATGTCCAACATGGTCTTTCGGTGACCCGAAACGAAAAGAGTCTTTGGACTTCTAGGGAAACTTATAAGAGTATATGGCCAAATTGAAGATGATTGAAGAAGCAACCTCTTCGGGGTGAGAAGTGGCGTTTTGCACCCAAAAACCCAAAGACCCTTGGTGCTTTGACGACGCGCAACCTTGCACATTGCAACCTTGCGAACAGTTTTTCACAAAACCAGTCGGGATCAGTCGGGATGTGGCGCAACCTGCGATGACGGAAAGTCCTATTGAATTTCCCTCCGCAAGGAACCGACAGTGTGTGATTGACCCCCACTGGTGGGTTCGCAGAGATGAAGCTTCTGCCCAGACTCTCACCATCTGCCGGCATGGCGTAGTCCACATAGAACCTGAGCTCAGACTATATTATTGACTGCTCCGCAAACGCGTCGAGAGGCATTTGCAATAGATTCAAAAATAACCCGTCTTTATCTGAGTGACCTATGGAACTTGAGTGCAAAGCTCTATATAAGGTTCTCCAAAAGTCAACTCTTGACCCAAAGTTGTGGGCCCAAATTAGAAAGAAGAACAAGGACCCATTTCCCTCCAGATCTCCACATGCTCATGCCAGCTATTGTCCCTTCCCTAGCAGCCAAAGCCATCTCTTTTCGATCAAACAACTCCACAAAGAAAAAAACCATCAGAACCTTGCCCGAGCGTGAACTACTAACGGACCTTTCGCCAAACCAACTTGCAGAGCCCAGAAACCCTCTCCGAGACGACCCGTTGACGTCATCACACCACACCCTCTCCCAGGCGAGCCGCAGATAGTCCCAGAGTCTCGCTTTGGTCAAGTTGGGCGGAGCCCGTAAACCCAAGGCCAGCGGCCGCGTCTCTACCTGACACATCGGTCATCCGGTCCACCGGCACCATGCCGCGTAGCGGGGCTGGGGCTGGGGGGGGGTGGGAGTGGTCTTGGCATCAAGAAAGGTGACGAACCAGAAGGAAATCCCAAGTGTTTTCCGCACCTGTTTGCTTCTTATGTCCTTCAAAAGAAGAAATGAGAGATGGATTCTTTAGCTAAATAGCCTCCGAACCCATCCTTGTGCAACATGACACACCCACTCATTGCTTCCACCCGATGTCCCTCCCTCCACCGTATTGGTTCCGTTTTTGAGGGGGGGATCCCTCCCGCCCAGCGAAGAGTTCCTTCTCCGTCTCGCCTTCAAAACGTCGATGCTTCTCAGCGCCCAACAGGCCAACAATTTGAAGATGGCTCCGGGTCTCGGACGGAGGAAGTTGTTGCAACCGTGGCCCAGGAACGAGCTACGGCAGCTACGGTATGGGTGGCTACAGTGACATGTGGTGACCGAAATGTGTTGAAGTTATATTTGGATCTTGCCGCAAGAAAGATGTGCCGCAATAAAAATGTCCAGTCCATAGTTAGCACACACACACACGGTTTCAACAAAGAAACTTTAAAAAGTAACAATAGATAACAAAACAAAACAATTGCATGTTTCGCCACACAGTCCTTCTTGCAAAAACGAAGCCCTGCGATCTGCGCACTCTGTGTAAAGCCAAGCAGCTCATTACTGAGTGCGAAGCATGCGGATCGCTTCCGCAAAGGGCTCAGCACATCCCGTGGAAACGGTGGCGGAAGTTTGGAAGCTTCACCGTTCCGGAGATGAAATAAAATATAGCCTCAGCGTTTTTGCACAGAAAAACCAGGAGATTACATTCATGTGTTTCTTTCATGGGGATTTGAACGGTTCTGAACTCATGTTCCAATGTGCGTAAGCGTTTGTTTGCGCACTCCGGGAAGTGTAACATTTACACCCGCGCATCTTTGCAAAACGGCATGTCCTGCACAAGAAAAAGGGTGCAAAACAAGCGGTTGCTCTGACTCGGAGGTCCAATGCACCATGGCTACAGTCTGTTGACTGTCTATTTCAGGCTTTGGAGAGACGAAAGGTGAATTGTGTATTGGTTGGCAACGTGAAAAAACAGGAAATGTCTTTTGCGAAAGATCTTTGTGGATGTCGCATTTAGTTGGGCAAAAACATGTTCATGCTTCTTCCTCAATTAGAATTTGTCGACCCATCCTCCCTCATTGGCCCAAACAAGAAGAAAGCAAAAGTCTTGGTACATCATGTTAAGCGATATGCTAGCGTCAGCGGCAAAACAATCCAAGAGGGAAATAAAGATACAAGACACAGCAACAGCAGCAGGGTAGTAGGGAGATAAAATTGTGAGACAAGTGGGGCAACAAGATTGTGAGAAAAGTGCGGAAAGAAGACAGAGCAACAGGACAAGCACGCACCAGACACAGCAGCAACAGCGGCAGGACAATCCGGACAGGGAAACAACCTTGAAAAACAAGTGGGCAGACACAGCAGTGAGAAAGTGGAGTGACGCGCGGCCGGTCGACCTGCTAATTCAGGACAGAAGGTGAGTGCGCTATAGTGCTCTGTATGTTCAGCCAAGTCTCATCAGCTAATCCGATCGCAGCGCGTTTGGTGCAGAGGGTGGGGAAATGTATGTTGCTGCGATGTTTGATCAGTGTCCAAGGCAGCCCGCAACCGTGCCAAACATGAGGGTCCCAATCCACCGCATCGCATCACGCATGACACTGGGAGAGGATGTAGGCAGACAAGCTTGGGAGATGAGTGAGCCACTCAAGAATCCGCCCCGCGCATGAGCAAAACCTACCAAGGAGTTGCCAGAAGGCGCACACACTGGCCCAGTTGCCTGAAGGCCGACACAGTTAAAAGCATTGAGAACCCTAAGAGTAAACTTTGTAAACGGTTTGAGGAATGATGTCTATAAACTTTAAACGAAACTCCGCGTCTGCCAAGCAGGAGAGCTCTGACATCTGGAACTCACCTTCTTAGTTCACTCGGGGCAAACTCAGGAAGGGGGTTCCTCTAAGGTTCCTCCTAAGGTTCTCACAGCTCTTCCAGGACTGGAAATCTGATTGCCAAGGGGCGAGTTTCCAGAAAGGCGTCGTTGCCAATGTCCTGGACACAGCAGGGGTCTCCATGCCTTGGGCCTCGTGGCCCATATATTATATACGTGTCCCGCATCACCAGTGCATACGTCCGGGTCGAACGAACCGGCTGACGATGCATTTCCTCCTTTCCCTCTTCACTTGGAGGGACACCCCGTCTTCTGAGTCTGAGTCCCCAAAGAAGATCAAAAGAAGTCTCCCTCATTAAAAAAATTAAATAGGACTCCAGTAAAAGTTTCAAACAAGGCACGGAACAATTGTGTGAAATTGAGCTTGCATTCTTTCGCCAAGCCAAATCAGCTCCGCGTGCCCTTACATGCCCAACCTCCGAAAAACATCGCCGAATGCCAACAACAAAAAGCGCCTCTGCGAGGACGGAGAGCTCATGCTTGGTGGCCGCTTCTTTGGTGGCAATGGCACAAGCCGCTCCCAAAGCGAAGCCGCCCTGGCTCACCTGCCAGTGTCAACACCCCCGGCCCCCTGCGAGTCCCACCGAGTCCTGAGGAGCGCCGCCGCAACGCGCCGCCGCAACAGGCGACCACCGCGCCTTCCGGGCGGCCTCGGTGGTGGAGATGGTGCTGATCATCTCCAACGGCGCCAAGGCGCGTGGACCTCGGGCGCGAAGCGGCGCTCCGGCGGAGCGGTCCGGTGGTAGCGCAGTACATGATGGACTGATGTCCCAAAGGGTATCTGCATGAAAGCATTCACCAGCTTACTCTTTCTTGAGGAAACCTGGAAGAGGACGGTTCTGGCTCTTCACAAAAGATGTTTCTTTACGATCTGGATCGGTTCCATCAAGATCATGGTTAAAGTATGTGTTCCTGTTTGGGAGGCAGGCTTGGTGCCTGGCGCCACACCCATCTCTCCAAAAAACAGCGCCACACCCGGTGTCTCAAAGCCTCTGGGCCTTCGGCTGCCAGCAGGCAGGCGTGTTTCCAGGAAGGCGGAGCAAGCACTCAAGATGTTGGGATGGCTCAAGACCTGAGACCCAACGGCGATGGTTTTCTTCTTGGGTTTTGTACACGCAACATGGTGATACATGGTGGATATACATTTCTCAACGGCGATTGAATTGGATTGGACCTCTTCCATCTCGCTACCCAGCGCCATGCATATGTGATGAACGCTGGAGCTGAAAGACTCCGTTTTGCAACACAAAAGGCACAATGAAGCCCAATCCGGAGTTGAACTCTTCGGATGATCCTAGGATAGAGTAAGATGGGGCTGGCAGTAGATTTAACAGAATTCAACTGGCACAGGTTTAGCTCAAGGATAAGGAATTGTTCAATAACCTCTCCGTTTGACTCAGAAATCAGACTCGCGCAAAGCCAGGCTTTTGGTCCCCGCAAGGAGCACGTGCAGACCAAGCTCCCCACATATCTCACATCCGCCAACGTGACATCCGGTCGGCCACAAAGGCAGTACACCTCCGGTCTCCCGCCGCTTTCGGTCGGAGCTTGCCGCCAAGGGCAGCAGGGCACTAGGCCGCACAGCACAGCACGTGTGTCCAGGCAGCAACAAGGAATAAGATGACTGCAAAGGTATTTACCGGGAAACACCACCAGAACAAAGACGATCAGTATTCCCTGGAAAGAGTCGATCCGATTTACAGGGAAACACCACCAGTTTGGGATACTTCATGATCTTCATGTTCTTTTTCTTGATCCTCAACGAGGAGGAACATCACACTTCGGTCACGCACGGCGTGCACGGGTTGCCGTGCCTCACGGACGCCCAGTTCCCCAGCAATGACCACGTCATGCTGTAGCAAGAGGTCGTAAGTGGAGTGCAAAGTGCCTCCCAAGGTTTCAGCGCAGCGGACATGCGCTGGTGGTTGGGCAGGTGGTTGCTACGTTGCTATCTTGAAGTGGTGACCAGAAGCTCCTGGGCCAATCCTTGTTGATGAAGGACACCCAATCCTTGGGGGTCGCAATAATACTCCGCGGGTCCTGAAATCCCTCGGATCGTGCCAGCCAAGCCGGAGACGCACTCCCCGGTCTTTTCCGAGGTCTCCCAGTTGGTCATCACCGCACCGTCACCGTCAGGAGAGAGGAAGAGGCGGCTCACGCCGCGCCTGCCTGAGGCGGAGTTTTCGATGGGCACCACGCCGTACATCGCCTCGCCATTCACCACGGCTTTGAAGGCCTCGTTGCTTCGCTTCGAGTCGTTCGGTTGAACCGTTGGGTCGTCCCAGGGACAACGTCCGTCCACGGCCCCTTCCAGTCGGCCTCTTCGTTGACTCGACAGGATCTCTGTCATCCAAGTGCTTGGTGAAATGCTTTTGGTCCGTTTGATCCAGGCACAGTTCCAGTCATTGAAGTCATTGTCACAGTGTCTTGTGTCCAGGTGCGAGTCTGTTGTGCTACAACTCATGCGTGTCTGTCTGTTTTGCTCGCTCGGCGATGCGTGGCAGGTGGCTGCCGCGAAGGACTTGACGCCCTTCTGCTTAAACTGTGGCAGGTGATTGAAGAATCGCCCTGCGTGCCATGACTTTGCGGTGCTCCAGCCGGATGAGTGGAGGAAGTTCTATGGAAGTCATGCATGTCTCCAACTTTATAACTAGTGGTAGTCATACATTTAAATGAGCAAGCAAGTGATGCAGTTCTATGGAAGTCATTTGTAATGACAAGTAGCATAGTAACTGTTGCCAGAGTAGCTCTCGAAGCTAGTCCGTCCCTTCACAGAAAGTGTCAGAACCTTGCTCTGGATGCTTGACCACACCGAACGCAACACACCAAACGCCGCCTATCGCCACATGTGCTAGCGATCCTTCTTCACCTCGGAGAATCATGAAAGACTTCAAGAGCAAGTGGGCACAACTTCCTCCTTAGTTCCTTGGCCTGATCAAAGAAAATCCGTCTCTGAAACCATTCCGGATCCATTTCTATCATCCAGCACCTCTAAAAACCCCACGGTCACCGAACCTCTCGAGTTCGACGCTCCAAGGCGCCAATGTAGACCGCGGTCTCTCCCCGGTCCCGCCGCTTGGACGGCGGCTCCATGGCGGGAACACTCTGGTGGTTGGAGTCCATCCCATTCGCTCGGTCGTCCGGGCCTTTCGAAAACGCTTTTTCTGGGTGCTTGGTATGTACGAAAGTCTCATCTGGGATCTCCTGCAAGTTGGATGTCTGAAATCATGCGAGAGGGTTTTGAGCTGTTCACTTCTCAAGTTCCTACAACTGAAGATCTGTGAAGCAACACCTGAGAGCAAGATATGGAAATCGCAAGCGATCTCAGTGGAGTGAGCGACCAGATTTCCTAGCACCGCTGCCATCGCCGGGAAAAGAGTGAGAAAGACCTTCACGTTTGATGCTGGTCCAGATTTGGTGGTGCGCACCCATCTCAACCTGGTCTATCCAGCCTATCCGATCTATCCAAACATGAACTACAAAACCTTTCTTGAGATCGACGCTCAGGCCATGGGCCACCTTTCTAGAAAGAAAAGAAAACATAAATATATTTTGAACAGAACAGCAATGACCAAACCACTACCTTCCACCCACAGCCCTCACTTGCTCCGGAACAGAGTCACACGTGTGCCTCTTGCTCTGCTTGCTGGCGTTCATACTCTTGGAACTCACGCATACGTTCCAGGCGTAAAGACCGTCCCTGGCTCGCCTGAGCGCATCGGCCACGTCGACCGAGCGAGCAAACACGTCCGCGTTCGACCTCCGTTTCTGGGGCCGAAGAAGCCTCCGACCTGTTCGTTGCCACGTGTTTGGGCAAAAAAGAAGGTGTTCCTATGGGTTCCTACATGGGTTGCGATGCGCTACAGGGCCCAAAAACACGTTCCTCGCAAAGAAGCAGGTTGCGATGTTGGGTCAACCGATGGTCTGTCTGGGTTCACGGGCCCGCGACCGAGCTTCTTTCTGTGCGATCCTCGGTGGGAGGGAAAGCACAGGCATAAAGATGTGGAAGAAATGGCAAAGATGCGTACAGTTGCAGCATGCCAGCCATGATCACTGAAAGAGGATTCAATCCACACCTGTTGGTCTCTCCACTTAGCTCCAGATGTCAGCGAATCGAAACATCCGGAACCCGCGAAGCGCCAGGCGCCCCAGCTGGATCATGGCAGCGCGTTCGGAGTTCGCTTTCCGCATCTGGACCGAAGATCCCCAACAACCCGTGACAAGACGATCGGAGATTGGAGAGTTCTTGCATGATGGAGGTCTTGTTGGATCTTTCTTTTGGGGAGGAGAACCAAGTGACCTCGTTTGGGAGCTGGAAGGCTTGGAGTTCTGCCTAAAACCCAATTAAAAAAGCTGACATCGAACTGTTTCAGCATGTTGCAAGTGTGATAACCAACAATGTATGTCCAAAAATAACAAGAACATATACAGGCAACAACGCCTCAAGCAATGAAAACTGCTCTTCCACCCCTTGGCATTTCATTCTCTACGCTTCTTTGCCAATCCCCGACCGCCGACCGCTCTCCGACCTCCAAGTCCAGCTGCCTCTTTTGGTGAAGGATCGCCTAGCGAGAACGAGATGTCACACCACGTTCTCAACGTGGAAAACAGCGGAGAACGTGTGCACCATCTGCGTGTTGCAAACAATCTGCTTTGTGTTTTTGGTTGGGCCTCTTTAGAGTGCCGTGCCGCCCTTTTTTTTCCAGTCTTGGAGATGTTGGACCATCGAGGCATCTTGCAACAGACCCTCCATCACACCGTGTTCTCTCTTGGTTCTCTCTTGCTTCCGAAGAAGCAGAGGGCCTCCTTCCAGGAGTCATGAGTCGGACATGGGCTTCCCATGACGACTTGAGGATGCACAAGGACGATGTCCATGCGCAAGGAGAGAAGAGATGCGAGAAAAGCATCGAAAAGCCACCAACGAATCCCTAGGTCCAGAATGACCGACATCCGGTTCAGAGGAACACGTTGCACAACAAAAGAGAAAGACGTACCAACGATGAAGTGAAGAAAGAGAACCAAAGACTATAAGACGATTCAACAGAAGCTTCCTTCCACTTCTATTCCTTCGATAGCTCTCTATGAGGACGTCTATTCCTTCGATGTCCTTCCTTCGATTCCGACCGCCCGGACTGACGGAGAGTGGGCACCACTAACGGAGTCACTGTGGAACACTGTGGAACGGACCTCCTCGCCTGTGAGGTCTCTCGCTGGGCCTGTGCCGCCAGCTGTTTCTCGCGCATCGATTCAAACCTCGACGCGGGAGGGAGACCGCAGCGACGGCAGCGAGGGAAGGAGCAAAAAGGGATTTTCGCGGGATGCGTGTCATGATGCGTGTCCATGGACTTGGAGAATGTGTCGAGCATCTGCATGTATCACATTCTCTTTTTGGACCCAAATCACAAATTCAAATCACTTGCAGAACCTTCGCTTCGAGTTGCATCCAGCAGTTTCCGAATGTGCATGTGCATGGACACTTCGACTCACCCTCAGCTTCGAACTGCTGACGCTTCCGGTAGTCAGAGACGGAGACCCTGCGGCGTCATGCGTGAAAGTTGGCCAGTTGGCCTTCCTTTCCTAGTTTGGTAACCCACACACCCGGAAAAATGACCCGGTTTCAGAATACTGTATGGAAAGAATCTGGCCATCACGGCATTCCGAAGTATGACATCGATGTCTGAATCGATGCGCCCGAAGACGACGGGCGTCGGCCTCGCCCGAGAGTTCCCGGGTTCCGGTCGCCCGGGGGCGTCGGCCTCGCCTATTTTGAGATGCCTTCACTCTGTTATGTTGAAGCGTGAGATCTCTCTCCTGACGTGAAGCTGTCGATCGCTGCTTCTCCCGGGTTTCTTGATGCTTCTCTGAAGGAGCGAACGAAGGCTGCTTGTAGAAGCGAACAGCAACTGACATCCATGAATCCACAGGTAAGTTTCCTGAATGAGTTGGTTCTGGAGCAGAGCCAGAACGCTTGCTTGTACAGGAAGAAGAATTGACAATCCAATCTCCTGCTGGATTGCTCGATCTGCCAACTTCTTCTCAATGGTCCGCGAGCGTCCCTCCTTAGATTAAATGTATGCTTCTGTCGATCCAAGTGTTGACATGATGAAGAATTTGAAACTGTTCGCTTGACATCCTGTCAACTACAATACTGTTGTCAAGCAAGGTCTATTTTGATACATGATGATACTTCTTCGATTCCTGGGACAATCGAAGAAGTTTGCTCGGAACATCAACTCGACATCCTTGGATTCCGTTTTTCTTGCAAGAAGGGACCCATTGATTGCGGTCGATCCCAAGCAATTTGACAGATCAAATTTGATCAAAAGCAGAGCTTCCTGGGGAGCCTTTCAACGTTGGATTTCTGACTTGAGAAAAAGAACGCTCACGCTCGCGCCGGGCTCCCCACTTCAATGGTCGCTGCCTGCGCCACCAGGTGCCACAAAGGTTACAACTGTTTAACTATTTGTTACATGTCTCACCAAAAAGAGACATTGTAACACGTCTGACGGTTACATGTCTCTTACATGTCTGACGGTTCCCAAAAACCAGCAACAAAAAACGAGAACCGTCATCAGTCGGACAAGGTCAACGGTGCCTGCCGTCGGACTTCTTCAAGATCTCGCCAAATCTTCTCCTGCAAAAAAAGTGCCGTCGGAGGCAGACATGGCACTCGAAGAAAGCAGGAAATCTTCGAAGCTTCAAATCGGTCTCACTGCTGCAACAAGTCAAACGGCCCCTCCGGCATGCTGGTGTTTGCAAGATCTGATGCCGGGCCTCTTCCTTTTGGAAGTACCGGATGCGATTTTCAATGGCTTTTCGATTTCTTTCGATGGCCTCCAACATGGATCTTTCACTGAGACTCTGCTGTCCAAACTAAAAAGGTCACTCGAACGCAATGTGAAAAACGCACTGTTTCTTGGGGGAAGTCATCTTCTGGGCGGGCCATTCCACAGCAATTCATAACATCTTTGCAAGATTTGAAATCTATTGAGTTTGTTGTTCGCAACTGCAAATCCCTCAATGACGTTTGGATGGCGTCGCGCAAAGCTCTGGAAACGCGTGCCTTCTTGGCACGATTGGCCTGGCAGCGAGTCACCCAGAACGCCCATGAAACGTGAAGCAAATTGATTATGTTTCATTGGGTATTGTATAATCAAAAATGGTTGGAATTGTTAGAATGTCAAATTCCTAGCATGGTACCTCCATTAGCCTTCGAAAGGCTTGATTTCATCCAAGGATGTTTGTTGAATGAGAATGGTTGCGCCCAAGAACCTGACGGTGCTGAATGTGCAGTCACACTGGGACTGCTTCATCTGCATCTACAGCGGTCATCGTTAAGACTTCGAGCACCAAATTGAAGATGTTGAAACGGGGCCCATAATTGTGAAACGCGATATTGGTAAATGCCTCTTCTTCTGTGTAGGCCACCTAATTACTAGTTCAAAAAAAAGAAGACTTCTCTTGGCAATCATCCTTTAATTCTCGGGAACGGCGCGGAGATCCCCGCGGAGATCCGCGCGGGTTCAGCCGCCTCGTGCACGGTCATCGGTCGATCATCTCTCCTTCTCCGAGCGGTCGGTGGGAGGGATGGAAGGGGATGGACATGTGAAGATTGTTCGGCCAGAGCCTCATTTTGGAGCAACCCATCTAGCGTTTGAGAGGTGTCTACGTGATTCTTTCAAAACGAAGCCGGGCACGGACATTGTGGGAAGGCGGCCTTTGCACAATGTCCCACGTCTGGCATCCAATCGACACAGCTATGAAGGCATTGAACACGCTTTATGCTGGTGATGAAGACGTTTTGCGATCAACGCACGTGCAGCGCAGCTCCTGCTTTCCTCTCTGGGGCTGCGTGGGCTCAAGTCCTGCAGATTGGGCCCTGTTGGACTCGCCAAAGATGCAGTTGTGAAATGTGGTGCGTTCAAAAACCACCACGGGTGCACTTTTGCGCAAGTCAAAAGTGCCAGCAAAGGTGCTGGATCAGATCATGCCATATCATATCACTGTATGTCAGGCTGAGCGCATTGCTTTGATAATGATCATGAAGGTGCGACTAACCAGCAAGCCAACTGATTCATTCTCCCTTGAAACAACAACGCCCAAGGAGGGCTGCAAGGAAAGGCGGCCCATGCTTGCGGCCTTCTCACCAAGGCTGGTTTTCAACCTCAGAAGAGCTTCATGTGCTTCCCAGTGCTACTTCAAACTTTAAGCCTCCCACATCCCAACGACACCCCACAAAAACACCAACCCTTCCAACAACCCTTAAGCCTATTTAAGCCACTTATACCCCCTTACACCCCCTTCACCCCCTTCACCCCCACCCCCTTAGAACCAAAAAGAGAACGAATCAAACCCTTCCGTCGCCTCCGTCGCTCCGTCCGGCCGCAACGGAACCACCGGAGCTCCGCGCCCCGAGGATCGCCCCGACGAGGGCGGCGGGCGGCGCCCCGGCGGGGCGAACATCGCACCTGGCGGAGCGGAGCGAATGGGGTGGGAAGAGGTGGGGGATTTTGGAAGGGAAGAGTGATTCGGTGACCGGACAAAAAAGACAGAGATGAAGATGAAGAGCTTCTGCACGTGCCAGTTTTGCACGTGCGTTCTTCGCGGTTCGTCCTTCACGTCGATACGAGAAAAAGGGTCGATGGACCGTGGCTCCGGCGCGTGGCGGCGCGTGGCGGCACGTGGCTCCGGCAGTCTGGTTTGTATGTTTTTGGTTCTCAGCTCCCACCCGGTGAATTAGTTCGATGCATGCCGAAGCTACCGGGCGACCATAAGGCTTTAGCACAGTGTTCGTCCAGCTGGGTCGATCAAGCACCACACGAGACTCCGCAGGAACGTACGAAGTCTACGAGCTGCGGAACCAGACAAGAAGGAGTCGACCCGGTCGGACATGGTCTCTCACTATTCATTCTCCTCCATCACAAGCTTAAAGAATGACATCCTTCTCACCAGGCACCCCAATGCGAAAGGTGATGTGCATAGCCGCATACCCCTGAAGTAAGGTGCACGCGTCACATGGGTTGAGGCAGCTTTGGAAAGTAGCTGTGCTCGCGTCACATGGGTCGGTATAGAGAGATGTTTACCCCTCAACCCCACCACCTATACCCAGGTGCACCTGATTTACATGGCTAATCCTGTCAACCTGAAGTTCTGTCTGCCGGCCTTGACCGTCAACGGACCCACGAAGTGGGTCGTCCACCCCGCGCTGAGCCACGAGCCAGCGCGATTCGCGTGGCTGCGGTGAGCTGCGAGCGAACCCGGTGCCCCTTCGAAGGGACTTTGGAAGTTCCCAGCTTGGATTGTGAACTGCATCTTTGAATCCATTTGGCCATATTCTACCTAGTGAAGCAAAGGAAGTTTCCTTTCAGGTACTCTAATAGAAACAGTCTTTTTGTAGTAATTGACTCTCAGGGATGAGGATGACGTTTGAACCCCAAACCTATCAGACATGCGCCCAACCCCACCAGGATCCGGACTCTGAACAATGCTCACGTGTCGGGCGGAATGAAGATGCGTTTCTCCAGTCCAACACGGCGCGAGATGGCAGAACCTCCACTCACCGGATCGCCAAATCGAACGCCTGTTTCTCACAACCCAGAAGACACACGACCACAAACGACTCACGACACCAGAGAAGAGCACAAAAGCAGCGCAGCCCGCTTTCTCGTGCTCAGAACACCTGCTTCAGAGAGTCCGGCTCCGCATGTTCGGGGCATCAGCATCGGTCAGGGTCTCCAGGCGCTGACCGAACCGCAACGGTCACCGGAATTGATTCTGGAGGGGCAACCGAAACGTCTGGTGTATATAATATATCGAGCAATGTAGAATTTGACTTTGCTTCTGTTCTGTATACTAGGAGACTAGGATCAATGATGAAATGAGCCGGCACGAAGTATGGTGAGCAGTGAACGAACCATATCGAACCAAGAAGAGAATATAAAAGACCAAATCCTCTGGCCAACTTTTGCAAAAAGAAATTGACGATATTGGTTCAATTTCTCGAGACTCCAATGTGTTAAGATCTCCAAATGGATCAGATGTGATCGGCGTGAAAATATCGATGGACTCGCATGAAGGAACCCCGAACTACAAATCACGATGAAGACAGCTTGGAACCTTCAACCACGGAAGCCCTACAAGCGCAAAGATCGTTGTCAGTTGTCAATGACTAGAAAACTATGACCTCGACCAAAATCCGGCCATTTCGATGCCTTTACTGAAGGAAGAGGGGACCGTGTTCCTTTTTGTCCAGGGTTCAACCTGGGGAAGTTTCTTGCCACCTTTTGGTCACGGGCACTAACTCCATGAGCTTCTTGCCATCGCTGCGCCGATGCTGAATAGCCTCCAGAGAATCCTCTGTACACCAAACACAACGCCAACAGTTAGACAGATTCTCTTCAAACCCGCCATCACTTCGGGCACAAAGACGCTCGCTATGGGTCGGAACGGGACGATTCCTGTGAGAAGAAACCAGACCAAATTCCATCCCAAATCAAGCAAACGAAATCTTTCATGATGGGACATTGTGATACGTTACCATGTGAGATTGATGTAATACCCGATGTTCTCCTCATCTGCTAACCGTCTCCTCACACCCTCTCCTCGCGGACAGTAGGCCGGTTCAGACCCTTTTTCGACCCGTTCCGGAACCCCGCGGAAAGTCGCGGAAACCCCTCAGGAGCCGATGTAAAAGTGCCGCCCAACGGCCGGCTCAGTTGGCCGAAGCCACAGGACCTCGTGGACGCCGACCCGCCACCGGCACCGGGGCGGCACCGGCACCGGTGCGCGGCACGTGTAGCGTTGGCCGTTGGTGAGGTCGGAAGAAGCGCTGTTGAGCACAGGTTGAGCACAGCTGGGAATGGTGAGTCATGTGACAAGCCATTTGAGGAGTATTACGATAAAGAGCTAAAGAAGGTCTTGAGTCTTTTGTTGTGCTTTTTCATGCTTTTTCATCATTTTCCAGGCTTTGTCGTGTGAGAGTACAGGTGGTATCAGGTGGCTATGGTGAGAATGTACCTGGCGTTTCAACTTGCTTGAACTGTCACGGTGGTCGGTTTGTGTTTGGTTGAGCTCTGCACGGCCACGGTATACGCAGAGCTCTTGTCAAAACATGAAGAGGAGATATAGAATCGAAGTGGCACCTGCCAGCATCGATCATCAAGCTGAACAAAAAGACTCAAATGGCTTCTTGAAGCATACAGCTCGAGAAACCTATAGATTAAGCAGGAGCCTGATCAGTATTCTCTATCTCATCAAATCAAGTCGGACTCTGAGCTTCTCCCCACCTTCGATGACACATCAAACCACTCCTGTCGGCTGTTGAAAAGCTGCAAGTGACGGCTATGAGAACTCCAAACACAAGCCCTGAAGGCCATTGTCTTGCCATATCCTCCTTTCGAACTCCCAGCAGTAAGTCTTCAATACGTCTCCCAAAGGTCTCTCTCATCCATACTAAGAGACTACTTAGTAGGCTTATGCTGCACGAATCCTGTTGCAAAGTCATAAAGTCCCAGCTTTTGAGACTGGCCACGCATCACAACGAAGCAAAAACAATCCAGTCCATCTGCAATCCTCTTAGTTACTGGGCCACATACGTGCATACCTTCTTCGCTCGTCCATGCGTGCATCGCTACGAGGGGTGTTTTCACCGGCACCTCCGTCAGAACGTGCGTGTTCCGTAAGAGTGCCAATCGGCACCTCGGCCCATGACGAAACGACTGAACGACTGAATGACTCAGGGGCCAAATGGTGTTCTGGGATGGACACTATTTCAGAGTGTTTTTTGGGACATGGATCCTCCAAGAGAACGCCAATTGACTCGTCTTCAAAACACACTCCGGCTGAAGCGCAGCCTCCCTTAGCACATCTGTAGGACATCTGTAGGACATCTCCGTAATCTCCGAGCTCGAAGTGGTGTTCACAGATCTCCGAGCTCAAAGCCGGCGAATGCCATACTTGGAAGCCTCCCCAATGAGCAATTCCAAGTCAAAGGTCACTGAGGTCAAAGTGCCTCGCAGCGGCGTGGCACAGCGTTCTGTCCGCTGTGTTCGAAGCGTTCTGCCGACGCTGGGAGCTCGGGTTCGTTACAGTCCGGTCCAGAGGTCTCAGTGGACGTGATGATCCCGTGGATCCTCGTGACCCCGGTGTCGACCGGCTTCAGCAAACGTGGAGCGAGTAGGAGCTGAACCGACCTTTTCGCCCGAACCATCCACGGCTCAGGAGTGAAGGAAAGCACCTACACAATAGGAGTGCCTCTCATCTAATCGTCGACTGGGTGAATCTCTTGAAAGTCGAACGACATCTTTGGATATTTGGAGAGTGTATACACTGAGTATACTGAATCTCTTTAACACACTACTATATGGCGACTCTCTCAACAAAGACTATGTGGGGAGGTCCATATTCGGAGATCTACCTTTTTCTTTCTCTCATCGATCGATATTTACCTAATCACTCTCCCAGCAGCTTGCAATTCCACGCAAAGGCTATCAAGCAAAAAAGACAATGACACACCCGCCACCACAGTTCTCAACATCCGCAGCCTCCAAGCTGTGCTGAATGCTTCCCATTCAGGTCCTGTCATCGAGCCCCGAATTCGGAACCTCATAGGTGGAGGCTCTGGCGTTAGTTCCCTCACCTCATGCCTCCCTACACTTGTCAAAGTGGCGTCATGATTCTCCAGCACCCGGCCAGACTCTTTTCCTCCTTCGGAAGGCTATGGTCGCGGGTCACTGGTGGTGTCGTCTCCTTCAATGTCTTGCCATTTGGACCGGAAAAGCCGCCGAACTTCTCAGTGGATACAGGTGATTCATGTGACATTCATCGGATCCATCGAATGCTCCCGAAAAAAAGGGGGGCTTGTTCAAAAGCCTTACCATCATGGCAGCCATGACATTGATGGGACCTTTCATGAAGATCTGGACTTCGTCCACCACAGATCTCTGTGAGACAAAAGGGGTCGCTCGACTTCGCTCTGACCTCCTTCAGCCGAGCGTGGCGATCCATTCCGCATCAGATGTCGTGCTGTCCGTGCTGTCGTGCGAATTTTGTGGGCACTGCCAGGTCTTCCAGAAGAACAACAGTGGTGGCACTTGAGCTGCTTGAGCGCACCGAGCTTGACATCCAACGCATGTGGGGCTTAAAAGAGGCGTTGCAGCACAAGTTCACTTGTGTCAACTCAAATCCTCAATCTCTCCTCCCATCAATGGCAATGGGGCAAGCTTGTTCCGCGTCAAGTCTACCTGAGTCAGACAAAAACCAAGAAATACCGTATAAGATGGATGTATCTACATGATTCTATATGTCTGAACCAGCAAACCACCAACCCCAAAAAAGAACACAACGGTCCCCCGTTCACGCCGGACGAACAGTGCCCAGCCCCACGACCCAAGGCGCCGTGAACTCCGAGAAGTACGCCTCGACTCCGCTCTCCTTGGAGCGGTGGACGCTGGGCTCCGCGAGCTGGGCTCGATGCAGCCCGGTCCGAACACGCCAAAAACAGGAAGGAGCTTGTGGGAAGGGGCTTGCTTGCGGGAATCATCGTCTTCTGGACACCTTGGGGACGAAAGATGAAGAAAAAATAACCCCATCATTGATCAAATTGATCCATCTGTCTATCGTTTCACCCACTTTTTCAGTCCACATCGCCACACCTTCCTTTACCGGGACCGCCAGGACAACCATCGAAACCTGAGGCCTCCGGCGGCATCCCAGCCGACGACTGGTGCCAAATCCGGCTTCACGAAGTGCTGGTCCTGGTGAGTTCTGTGCGGGTCGCAGATCTGAGTGAAGTGAGCGAAGCGATGTGCCATGTTTGGTGCAGTTTCGATTGATCCAATAAAACCAACACAAAGTGCATCAAAAGGAGGTATTTTGCAACATACAATGAGCATGAAACACATCGAATTCACAACTGGCGTGAAAGATTCTAAATCTAAGAGGTTCAACCAACCGTTCAACCCAAAAGCCCACGCCCACTAAACTCACTCAACCACTTAGAAACCTGCCGCTGTCACCGCCCACCGCCCACGTCTCTCTATGCAGTCCGCTCGCTCTCCGCTGTCCCGCGTCGGGATCCGTTCTCCTGCTTCCGCACGGCGGTGCAGTCGGACTCCATCTCCACGGAGGCGGCCAGGCCGGTGATGAAGCCCAACCTCGGCCACGGTGGTTGGAGATGGTCTGTGCAGGTGGAAGTGCTGGCAGTGCTTCGCCAGCGGCGGAGGCGAATACGGTGGATACAAAGGGTCAATTCCCAGAAGAACGAAGTGTGGATCTGGAGCTTCGTTTCCCCGGTTCAACACTCCCACACTCCAAGGGCGGTCTCCAAAAATGATAGAAAGGATGTGTGAAGAACCTTTTGCCGCGTATTACATCTACTGGTGCTTTTTGCAACGTGTCTGTTGTTGAAATTGGCCAGTTGGATGGATCCTGGATGTTTTAAGTCTAGCTTCATTTTGATAGTGCGAAACCAAAGGAATGAGAAGGATGTGAACAAAAATACGACGATGTTCTGAAACAATGAAGCTGCAATGTTCAACGTGTGACAGGAAGGTTGAGATTAAGCGGCAAAATCATGCAAAATCCAACCAAACTCATTTTTGCACCCGGCCCCACCTCTCTTTTCAGCACCTCAGTCAGTCTCAGTCAAGGCACTGCAAGGCCTCTGTGGCGCTACAGCGAATGTCCTGATTTCGGCGCCTCAGAATCCATGAGACTGGATGTTCACAAAACCGAAGACGGGATTTGAAGAGTATCTGCTTCGTCTTCTCTTTGGATCAGAAGGCAATCCCCTCCGGTCGACATGTTCGGTCCCCAAAACAGGTAAAAACCATCTCATCTCTCGACTTCTGGGTGACCCGGACAACAAGACCCGGCAGAAGCGGGCCGCAGGGCCTAAGGACTCGCCCACCTGGACGCTCGAGAACCGACCGAAGGTATTGCTCGGTAGGCTGCCATCGAAATACGTGCAGAACAACAGGCTCCTGCACCAGGAATGTCGGTGTTCCCAATCTTTCTGTCGACCCACAGAAAGGATCAGAAAAGTGCCCTGTGAGATTAGCTCCCCCATCGGTCTGGATTCTTGGCTTCGTTTCGGGTTTCGGGAAACAGTTTGCTGCCCAGGCCTTTTCCCCAGCAGGCACCTGGCAGGTTGAAAGCCGGCCGGTGCAGAACTCTCGAGCATCAAATGCGCAGCAATATCGTAAGTTCTGCTCTATGAGTAAGTTTCCTCAGAATTCCCTGCCTTCCTTGCTCACATGTTTCAAAGTGACGAAATTGAAGGATTGGATCAAATAAGTTCAATTTGCCCCCTTGCCCAAGATGGCCTGAACAAAGTACGGCTCGGCATTTTGCAAAATCAGAGTTCGTATTCTGTCCTGGGCCGCCCCGGCAACGGCAACTGCATCAACGCGGCTTCTAAGCTCAGAGCTTCGTGCCCTGTTTCTCAACGAAAACCATCCAAACCATCCAAACCATATGGTTTCCACTCCTCCGAACCCAGGGGTATGAAAGCCTTCTCAGACGTCTCGGGCGCTCCTTGTCTCGGACCTGCGGCGCGTAGGGAAACTCATTGAAGAGCAGGGCGTAGGCCATCACCCCGAAGGACCAGACATCGGTCTTCTCGGTGTAGCCGGCCTGTGACGGAAGCGGACGAAGAATGAAGCACAATGAAGCACACATTTCTCAAGGCGCGTAGCGCGCGAGGGGTTTTGTGTGTTCTTTTTTTTGGGGGGGGGTTGGGTTGGGGGTTGGGACAGGGAGGTGTGTTTTCGGGCACGGGGAATGACACGGAAAAATAACATGTGTTTTCAGTTTCTTCTTCAGTTGCTCTGGACATCTTGAAACCAACTCGGTGAAAACTCAGTTCCTGCCTGAGTCTGAATGTCAATGGAAAAGAACACCCTAAAGTGCCCCCTCTCTTCTGAATGCTGACACGAGGTAAATGTATAGTCTAGCATCTCGGAAACGCTGAAGAGTTCATTCTGTTGGAAGATTCTTCTGGTCCAAACGCCTCGCGCCAACGCTCGCGCCTTGCTGTGCATCTCCGGGGACCGGTATTGCCAGCTGCCAACTTCTTCGAAGAGCCGGCCGCCCTGGACGGCAGTCCAAACGTGAGGACTGAGTTAATGTGTTTTGGCTAAATGGTTTAAGGAGATATGGTTGGGGACAGAAAGAACTGTTGGGTGCCTCGACGTGTGATTCAGAAGAGTTTTTATGATGTTCATTCATCAGGATCTTTGAATGTCCAAAGACAGAACCCAATTGTTTGAGGAGAAAGAAGGTGCATCGATCGGTTGGAAGGTCCCCGCATCAGCAAAAACTGCATACAGAAAAGAAGTGCCCAAGACAGTCTATTCCAGCCAATGACATGGATTAAACAAACAAATTATATGTACCTGTGTATGACTACATAAAGGCAATTACAATGTGCTTCGTAGAACAAAAAGGAAATAAAAGGAATGGCCCCCCACCGAACGCGAGGACACTTTGCCCCGTTTTCCCCGAGTCAACCAGCGCGTCAACCCGGACTCGCCTGGGGCACTTGGCAAGCCGTGCCAAAGTCCGTGAGTTTCCTCCGTCGAAGCGGGCCGTCCCGGCGAGCAAATGCGCGGAGACGGGGTCCGGGGCGGCCGCGAGCCCCGCGTTAAGGGGGGAGCGTCTGCCATTCATGGAATGGCTAGATGGGGACGTGATCAAAAGTGAAAGAGTGGGTCAGACACTACAAGCAAGCAGTTTACCTGTTTGTCCACAGCAAGGAACTCCTGCGCGAGTTTTGACACCAGACGAGAGACTTGGAATGGTGGAACCAGCAACAAGCTTTGCAACAGCAACAAGGTGTTCATCCTTTGCAGATGAATGACGAATGGAGAAGTCAAGATGGTTTTGCTATGCCAACGGAGTCTGTCCATGTTTGTCAGGGAATAAGTTCTTCAGCTGGAAGCTAACAGTCTGTAGCACCGGTCAGTGACTGGCGATGACTGCGCCGTGACCAGAGCACAACTGCTGCGGGTCACACAAAACCGTTGTCCCACAAAGCCGCCGGGTGGATGTCCACAAACCCGATCACGCCCTGGCGCTGATGAAACCTCGGACGACCTGCCAGTTCACAAGAGCCCCTGTCGGCTCGCTTCACGCCCAGGAGCATGATGGTGTTGCCCTTGTCGCCACCACACAAAAAGTTCGACGCCTCTCAGGCGACTCCGAACCCCTCTCAAACCACCTTTGTTGGAAACTGCATCCTCTCCGATCCTTTTTCCGACATGGTGCAGAAGCACGGGTCCTTTTAGAAGGATTGTCTTCCAAAAAAGAAAAAAAGGACGCACAGAAATCCCCCACTTATGCTTCTCCCTGCTTCCTTCTCCTCTTTTTCTCCGTCCCTGTCCCCGCGTGTCCGTTCTCTTCAAAAGACTGCCACAGCACCGTTCGAAACGTCCATGGCCTTGACGTTGCGATGAGCGACACCGCAGGAATGGATCCATTCCACCGCCCGCAACATCCTCAGCCCGCAAGGCTGCAAGCTGCCGAGAAGAAGCGCCGCCGCCCCCCCGGCGGCAGCTGGCCAAAGGGGTTGTTTCTCTGTCTAGACGTAGCATCAAAGAATACGAGAAGGCACAGCTGTTTGTGTAACAAAATTGGAAAGAAAACCAGTCAGTGACGGACATCGTGGATATGATCTGCCACGAAGCCCTGGGCTAAAGGTCTCCTCTTCTTATCTCCTCTTATCTCTCATCTCTCTGATCTCCTCGGAGAGATCGCCCGCCAAGATTCTGTTTGAACGCCGCTCGAGTTTTCTGCACGTTCCAACTGGTAGAGCTCTTCCTCGGATTGGGGACGCGGACCGAGAGGACGGCGGTTGCGATGCGGAGATGCGGAGGACGCAGCGCGGTGTTTGGCTTCACCGAAACGGTGTACCGACGAACGCTGCATCTTTGGGGTATATAGTTGGTCCAAAATAGAGGTGACTCGGGTTTGAAGGTACACATTGGATCTCAAAAGATTGAAAGAAATCCGGACACGCGCGCCCAGCAGCACTCGTAGATCTTCGGGGATCTGTGAGGAAACTCGGCATGTCTGAAGAGGCATGTCTGGGATCTTGTCCATGAAGATCAACCCAAGTGTTTGAACAACAGCAAAACCATCAAGAACCATGCAAGACACCACAGTCTCTGCTTTCCGACCGCGGGTCCGAGGAAGCAAGGGGGTCGATTTCGACCTTGACCTTCCTTCGAGTCTCACGGTGAGAAGAATCCGCTAAGGGAAGGTTCCGCAAGCAGACTGAGAGTGAAAGAAGTTGTGTGTGAAGCCATAGGGTCCCAATGGGTCCCCAATGTTGGCTATGCACCGCCAAAGGGGTGTCGTCTTCCAGCTTGATATGTGTGGATGTACTATGAGTGCATTCTCAAGCCTCTGGTTGCTGTGGGGGGCAGCAAGGGGGGTTCCTGCTTGCAACGAGGAGCAGCTTCTGCACAAAGCTACATTGGCATCTCTCCATCAGAAAGAACAGAGTCGCTCCATCTGCTCTGATGGTGTACCACTGCACTATGTACCTTGCACGGTAAGGAAGAGACTTGAGAGGAGGGAGACACGAAAGGTAGGACAGCGGGAAGAGAAGAGAACGCGAGGGGCAGGAACAAAATGCAATGTTCGACATGGTGATTTATCCCCTCGGAGGCGACCTTTCGTAAATGTTCATATGCACTCTAAATGTTCAAACATATGCTCTCGAAATGTTCAAAAAGGTTCTTAGGAAAACAAACTTGCCCCATGGCTCAGATCATCGGTGAGCATTGAATCGGAACATCATAGGATTTGAACTATCCTGAAACCATAAGAGGCTCACGAAGACGCTCCCCAGGAGAGAATTGACGTGCTTCACAAAACAAACTCTAGGTATGTATCCCCTCGAGGAACACCTTTCGTGATTAGAATTTCATATTCACTCTTTCTAAATGTTCAAGAGGGTTTCAACTATCCTGAAATCATGAGAGGCTCACGAAGACGTTCTCCAGGAGAGAATTGATTTTAGAGGGGGGAGGGGGGGGGG